GTTTTGGAGCCTGTCCTGGAACTTGCTCTGTAAACCAGGCTGGCCTCAAACTCACAGAGATCTGCCTGGCTCTGCTTCCCAAGTGCTGGGACTAAAGGCGTGTGTCACCAATACCCGACTTACTCTGCAATTCTTAACACCTGGCAACAACTTAGTTTTTTTTTCTGTAAATTTTGTCTTTTGCATACTTGTCTTTAAAAAAATTTGAGCTGTGGCTGTTTTTCGAGACAGGGTTCCACTATGTAGCTCCTGGAATTCACTATGACTGTCCTGGAATTCAACATGTAGTCCAGACTGGCCTGAAACTCAGATATGTATGAGTGCTGGGATTAAAGGCATATGTATCACTATGCCCGGCTCATAGTTGTCAAATTAATTCAGTCATACAGTACATAGTCTTTTGAACAAGTGTTCTTTAACTTAGAATGAGGCTTTTCAGCTTTATTGATGTTCTTGTATGTCTCAACATTTCATTTTCATATTGCTGACCACTATTGTCATTTTTATCAATTCATGTCAGCTATCAGTTCATGAGTATACACAGTTTATTTCTAGTTTGGGGGATCAAGACTATGGATAAAGCAACTGTCAACATTCATGTGTAGATTTATTTGTGAACATGTCTCCCAAATAGACACCTAGATGTAGGATTACTGGGTCTGTGTTTAATTTTGTAGGTGACAGTGATATGTTCTCACTAGTAACATGAGAATTCCAGTTTTCCATCTTTGTCATCAGTTGGTATTCCTGGCTTAAGTAGATTTAAAAAAATTAGTCATAAGCCAGGCATGGCAGAGCATGCCTTTAATCACGGCACCTGCAGGTGGATCTCTGTGAGTTCGAGGTCAGCCTGTCTACAAAGTTTTCTAGCACAGCCAGGGCTGTTACACAGAGAAATTCTGTCTTGAGAAACAAAACACCACCAAATGAGTCATATTCCAAAATATATGTACTGGTATCATTAAAATTTAAAAAACTGGGACAGAAGGTTTAGGACAATGGTAGAATATATTGTCTAGCATGCTCAAGGCCTGTGGTTTGCCGGTGGATTGGGGGTGAACTACCAAAAACAAAAAGCAAAAAATGGTTGAAGAACAAATGAAAAGAATATCATGGGATACTGAGGAACTGCAAATCAAAACCACAGTAAAATTTTACATCCTGACTACTAGAACTGCTTAAATCAAAAGGTGAGCTATAGTTTGATCCTCCCTTAAATAGTGACAGCATTAACATATGATTCAATACCAAGAGAACTAAAAATATATGTCCATGCAAAATTATAAATATATGTATTTATAGCAGGATTCCTAATAGTGTAAAGTGGAAGCAATGACATTTCTATTAACTGATAAGTTTGAAATGGACTGAAATACTAATGTATATGACAATGTAGTTGAATGTTGATTGAATAAGTTAACAGTAACTGTAAGAAGTGAGTCACATAGGAACATACATGCTTACATTTATTTGAAATTTTCAGAATAGATAAATACAGATCTGCATTGGTGAGATAGCATAATTAGAGGTGGATAGCTGTAAGAAAATAGGGTTTCAGTTTCAAGTGAAAGTCTTCTCAAAATGTGATGGATGCATAACTCTGAATATATGAAAACTCATTTGAATTCCACACCAATGTGGATGTAAGAAATTAACCCCCCACTCCACCCTGGTTTCTTTGTGTAGCCCTGGTTGTTGTGGAATTAGCTCTATAGACCAGGCTGGCCTTGAACTCACAGAGGTACATCTGCCTCTGCCTCCTAAGTATTCAGATTAAAGACTTGCCACCACTGCCTGGCAAAATTGACCAGTTTGTAAGGAGTATAAGTCAGTAATTTTTAGTGAAACCATTGGGAAAGATTTTCAGATTTTTATATCTCTAAAATGATTGTCCTTGTTTGTTGCCAATGCCCTTTTCCCACCACAGACCAGACAACTACTAACCTGATTTTTATCTAGATTTGCATTTTTTGGCATATTTCATATCATACCTTTTGCATCTGGCTTTTTAGAGCTAGTTTTTTCACACCCTTGTTCACACTTGTTGTATAGCCTTCCCAGTAGGCGTGTTTTTGACTCATTGTGATTTTAATTTGCATTTTCCTAATGGCTAATCATACTGAACATCTTCTAACTAGTTGTTAGCCATTTTTACTCCCTTTCTCCTTTTTCAGATAGAGACTCTAGCCCAGATTGGCCTCAAACTCTGTAGTAGAGAATAACCTTAAACGTCCTGATCTTCGTACAGCTAGCTCCTAAAGCTGGGATATTATACACAAGGCAAACACTCTGCCAAATTTAACTATATTGATAACTCCCCCTTCATTTACCTTTAAAAAAACACTAAAATGTTTTGTCCATTTAAAAAGCTGGATTGTTCATTGCTAACTTTATTTATAGAGATCAGCCTCGTACTCACTTTGTAGCCTAGGGTGGTTGTGAATGTCTGAAATCCTGCCTCTACCACGAGAGAGCTGGGGTGACAGGCTTCTACCTCCCTGCCAGATTTATGTTTTCCTGAGGATTGAACTCCGGGTCTCTAGCCAGAATAGTATTAGCTGAACCCCATCCCCAGTCCATGTTTAATAGCTCTCTATATATTTTCAATGCAAATACTTCATCGTTAGATATGTGATATGAACTTTTTTTTTACCCAAGTTAGTAACTTGTATTTTCACCTGCCTGACAATTTCATTTGCAGAGCAAATTTAAATTTGTGAAAGTCCACTCTATATGCTTTTAAACAACTTTCCCTAACTCAAGGTCTTAAATGTTTTCTCTTAAAACATTTTTAAGAACTTTAATTTTATGCATTGATTTCCAAATATTTGTAGGTCAGAAGCTAAAATATAATACAAAAGTGCACAGGGGAGGAGGGAGGGATGGATTGGTGCTCCCTTGTAGCTTTTCTCTTGCTGCCTTAACTCTCACTTGAGAGGTAGCAGGTATCAGGATAAATATAGAAACTTTTAAGATCTGGTCTGCTTTGCATTAATTAGCAAAATAAGATGTGAGATGCAGGTCTAGGGTTAAGTGTTGCTTTATGAATGGGCAATTCTTGCATTATTTGTTATAAATATCTATTGTATTGTCTTTGTTCTTTGTCAAAAATAAATTAACCTTTTTATATCTGTCTGTTGCTTGTTTTCTTAGTGTATGCTTTTCTTTCTTTAGTCTTTCTGTTAAGGATTTTTCTGGTCTTTGTTTCTTGGTTTCCCCTATATTTTGATTGTTTTCCTGACCCCGTACCTTCCAATTCTTTTCTCAAATAGAAGTATATGAATAGTATTTGTTGGGGTTTTATACCCATGTTTAAAGTTCAGTAGATGTAAAGAATTTGTATTTTGTCTTATAGAATATGACAAAATGGATCAACATTTTAATTGTATTCTTTTATAAGTCTTAAAAAATGATGGTCCTTCATATAACCAAACAGTATGGTTCAGAACTTGTACTAAGTTCATTTATGATGGTTTCTTTAGAAAAGAAACAAGGTAATATGAAATTGGTGTGGTAAGGAAAGTCAAATTTCATTCCTTATCTACCATGATTTTATTTCATTCTTAAATTATTAGTGATGGTCCACTTGTTTTTCCTATAGGCAGCAGTCATGATTGCTGCTAACTCACATATAAAAGAATAATAGTTTTGATAGCTGCTTTATATGGCAATGTCTCTAAAGTTGACTTTTTTTTTACTTAGAGTGTATTTTTTTGTCAAATACATGTGGATAAGACCTTACATATTTAATTTAGTGTGTTATCACTGTACAAATGGAAAAAGTACAAGTTTAACATTTCTAGACCAATAGGAAAAGCAAGCTTTTGATTTATTCATTTATTTATTTGTGGTGTTAGTATTGAATCTAGTGTTCAAGAACCTAGTATACAAGGTTTATCACTGAGCTGTATGTTCCTAAAATCTTACTTTTTTAACACTTTGAGTTAAGAAGAGGGTTGTATTTTGGCATTTAACTAAAAATAAGGTATTTAGTGCTAGAATGAAATAATAGAAACAGTGCCCCTCAGGATTCAGAGCACTTTTTCTGGCAAAGTACCCGAATAACATGTTGAAACATGTAATAACATGTCAATGATGTGTCATCAAATCTTAAATGTACATTTTTGAAGGTTTCTGTGTAAGATATTTCATATGTTGTTTCCATTATTTTGACTTAATAATTTAATTTTTAATTATATATGTGTGTATATATATATATTTGTGGTGTGTGCACTGTGTATGTGACTGCAGATGCTCATGGGTATCAGAGAAATTACAAGTTGTGACCCACTTGGCTTGGGTGCTGGGAACTGAACTTTGCAGCATGTGCTTTTAACTGCCCAGCCATCTCTAGCTCTCATTGTTATCAGTTAAATGCTTCTCTCTGTTGTTTTCTAGTACTTTGCAGCAACATTTCTCAAGAATTATATCAGGATTTCCTACCATTATTAGTGGCTTTATTTTCAGTGGTCCTAGTAGACAATTTTTATTTAGAATTAAATGATCTTTAGTACTTGGATGGGAGATCTTTATTTTCTTACTTGAAATAGTTGCTTGGTGTTTTTTAAACTTTGCTTGAAGTGTGACCTTTGTTCCAGCAGATGGAGGTCCCACTCCTTTTCTTTGTCTTTTAAAAAAGATGTTCTCAATACTAAAGAGAATTAGTGAAATGCCCCACCCCTACTTCCCTCAAACTCTGGAGGGTAGCTGAAGGACAGGAACTACTACTTGGAAATTCTGGGAGTGATTGCAAAGCTTTCCTGGTGTAGGCTGTTTTACACACGTGAGCCTTTTTGTAATCTTTGCAGTCTCCTGAAGTAGCTTCCCTCAGTTCAACTGCAGTTTTCTTTAGATCTCCAGATTTCAGCAGCTTAGTCGCTTTATGCCTTTAGCTGATTTTGACATCCCCCCTTTCTGTAACTGTTTAACTTCTTCCTCATTTGTCTCCTCAAGTTTCTTATTCTTTGGAGCATCTGCTCTTCGTTTTTGTTTTTCCACAGGGTCCTGTCTGTCCTGCGCCAGTCAGCCTCTTGCTTCTGCTTCTGGGAAGTGCCAAGATCCTGCAGCCCTGCCTTCTGCCTAGACCTTGAGCTGTTTGGGATTCCTGCCTACACAAGCTCCAGCACTTGCCGCCGCTGCCTGTCTCTCCGTGCATTCTGTGTTTTCTTCTTTTTCACCCTCTGTTCCTTTCTCCTCACCCCATGCACAATGCATAAAGGATGGAAAACGTACTGCGGCCAGAAGTCTTTGAATGAGGCATCAATGGATGAATATTTAGGCAGTTTAGGGCTGTTTCGAAAGGTGATTGCCAAGGATGCTTCTTGCCTTTTTCGGGCTATTTCCGAGCAGGTAAATATAAGCATGACAAATGGATAATGTAATGTCTTGTTTGTGGCATGTTCCAGTAACTGTTCAATCTGTAGCATACTGAAGGAAACAAAAATGTTACCTTTTCTGTTTTGTTAGTGATAATATCTTGGCCTGCCAGAAAAGCACAAACTGCAAAATACTGCATGCACTATGGCTGATTAGAGCTAATACTGTTCTCCTGTGGCTACTTTGCTACTTTTTGTTGCCAGTTTGTAATGGGGGAGGGGTAAATTAATGTGGGATTAGAAAACCTTTGAAATGAATCTCAATCATTTATAAGCATGCCATATTCCTTTTTGTTTTATGCGTAAAAAGATTTATAACTTGTGCCCTTATGGAAAGTTGAAAGTCAAGGAGAGAATCATTAACTCTCAATCTCACTAAAGATAACCATTTTAAAGATAAGGTATAGCTTCTTCGCCTTTGGTTAAGATCAGGTGTGGTAACAGATGGACTTAATTTTTCTGTTTTCAACATGTGTTCTAGATTAGGAAACTATATGTATAATTCATCATCTTAATTTAGAAGATTCTATTTAAATGACATGACAGTGAGCTAGTTTTTTCTTTTATAGTTGTTTTACAGCCAGATCCATCATTTACACGTCAGGAGAGTTTGTGTCTCATATATGAAAGAAAATCAACAAACTTTTGAATCTGTAAGTAGAATATATCCACCGAAGAGAGTTGTTGGTAATGTATATAATAAGTGGGCAAAAATAATTTTGGGTGCCTAGTATAAAAACTGAATTGTCATACAATTCTCAGCTGACTTAGTAGAACTAGCATGCTTTTCTACCTCCTCAAATTCAATTTACTAAACACTGAGACTGACCTTTTGGTCCATGCTTGTAATTCAGCACTGATTTCTCATCCCAGTATGCTGCATGCTGATCAGTAGAATCCTGAATTCCAGCCAAACCAGTCTGAGCAATATAGGGAGGCTGTTAGGACAACAATGACTAAAAGAAGTAACAATCAGTGTCTTTCCCACTTATTCCTCCACAAACAGAAAAGAACAAAAACTCTGAATATCATACAATTTATATTTTTACCACAGTTTTGTATTATTAATACCATTGTTTTCTTGAACAATTTCATGACATTCATGACAGATTTGAGTCTGCTAATATTGTAGTGTCCATTTTAATGTATACTCAGTAATAGTCTTGTAAAAACTGAATTATAAGGAAATGCTTGCTAACCGTAATATGACAAATTGTGAAAATTGAAACTCTACCTCTCTGGTTCAGTAGCCTAATTTTTGGTAAATGAAATTTTATCAAAGTCTGATTTGAAGAGAGCCCTCTCAATGACTTTTTACAGCTTTAATTCTTTTTAACAGTATATTGAATATTTGCCTCCCTGCCCTTGGAGGTTTGTTTTTGATTTCTTCAACAGGTTTCAGTGAGTTGTAAAATACTGTAAAGTCCTCTTTAAATCTTGTTGATTATCATCTTCTCCACACCTGAGAGAAATACTGTTGCTGACATTGAAATGTAAGACCATGGTTCAATGCAGCATATCTCAAGGATTTTGTGCATACACATAACACTGGGACTTTTTGTTAAAATATACATTCTGATGAAGTAGATTTAAGAAGAGGCTTCAGATTTCTGCATTTTAAACAAACTTACAAATTAAGGGTGCTAGTGTTTTCTAGACCACATTTAACTAACTAGTTATATAAAACACTGTTAGAAGCTCCCCCCCAAAAGTTTGAAGTTTATGCTATGTTTATGTGTCTTTTCAATGAAAACTTAAAAAAAAATTACCAGCAAGTCTTAAGGGCACAAGGACACCTATGAGTATGATAGATTAAATTCATTATCTTAAATCTCAGTTATATATTACAGTGGTTTCAGGGTCAAAATTTGCACTGTTTAAAATTACTCTGTTTATATCTCAGAACTGTAGAGAAAGTGAGTTTAATTAATTTTTTTATGGAGGTATATTTTACTTACTATAAGATTTTTCCATTGTAAGGTTAACAGTTTTAGTTTTGGCCCTAGGAAAAGTCTTTGCAGCTTCCATTAAAATCAGTATGGATCACATCTATACCTGCAGAAGTTTCTTGTGTCCAGGACTGTTTTGATATCATTGAAATTCTTTTTATGAAAACTTTCTTAGCTTAGCCAGGGATTGGTGGTGCACGCCTTTAGTACCAGCACTCAGGAGGCAGAGGCAGGCTGATCTCTTTGAGTTCAAGGCCAGCCTGGTCTACAGAGCAAGTGCCAGGATAGGCTTCAAAGCTACATAGAGAAATCCTGTCTCAAAAAAGCAAAACAAAGCAAAAAAACTTAGTTAGTTTAACTTTGTATACATATCTCCTATCAAATTTTTATCCTTAATGATTCTTGGTCTTGCTTAATTGATTTTAATTGTCAGGTTACTTAAGAAATTAGAAAGTATAGCTTGCATTTGATGAAATCCACTGATACGTAGACAGCTTCTGAGATACATTTATCCCCTCAAGACATTTGTGTAGGTGTAGATCTTGAGGTGCTCTGTAAACTAGTCATTTAATCCCACATACAGAATATGTAAACGTTCTCAGAATTCATAAACATTTGAATGTGACAACAATTAATGAAAAAAGAAGTCATGAGTTTCAGAGTGGAGAGGGGGTATAACTGTGTTTGCAGAGATGAAAGGGAAGGGTGAAATGATGGAAGTATATTATCTCAAATAAAAAACTCATTAGATGCTATAACTATTAGATGCTGATAACTGTAGAACATAATTACATTGCAATAATGTATATTTGGCTAAGTCAAATTTGCTTTATTTTTTGAAGTATGTGGAGGGATCTTTTGAGAAATATCTGGAACGGTTGGGAGATCCCAAGGTAAGTTCAAATATGAGGATATCTGTTGCTTGGGTTTCTTGTCCTGCCAAGTCCCACTGCCCTTCAGCACCGAAGAAACAGGGGGGCTATATTAATTATTTCAATTGTTTGGTATCAGAGCCTCTTAAAAGAGCCATGCACTTTTTTGCTGCTAATGCTGAGTCAGGAAAACTCTCTTAAAGGAGCCTCGAGCCTCTGCTTTTCTCTAGCAAACAGATCCCATCCGAGAAACAGGGCGAAAAACCTTCCCCAACTGAGCACATATCCTGATTTCCATTCTGAGATCAGACCATCCTTGAAGTATATCTGCTGATATAGCTCAGTTTTTTCTGTTGTCCAATGTCTTTCTGAGTTTGTTTTTCCTTTCTCATTATCATTAAGAAAGCTTAAGGTTAGTAAGCATTATGTAATCTATTTTGGGGGGTCTTGGTTACCGCTGCCTGTCTATAGAGCATTTCCTTTAAAGTGCAATTAGATCTTTCAATAACTGCTTGTCCTGTAGGGTTGTGTGCTATAGGAGTAATATGCTTTATGTTATAATATCTAAACTGTTTCAATTTACTAGAGACATATGCTGGAACATTGTCAGTTTTTACTTGTGCAGGTATACCCATTATAGCCATTACCTCTAATAGGTATGTAATATCAGAATCAGCCCTTTCAGAGCTCAGAGCAGTTGCCCATTGAAATCCTGAAAATGTGTCTGTTGTATGGTGCACATATTTAATTTTTCAAAGTATGCAATGTGAAACACATCCATTTGCCAAAGATCATTTTTTCAAAGTTGTTTGAAATAGTAACCCAAACATACGTCTGTGTCTGTAATGACTCAAAAGTATTTTCTTAAGTAGCTAGCTCTGTTGAATGAAACAATTATTGGATAAGAAGCAATGGCCTGTTGTTTTGTGTTGAATATTGAGAAATATGCTGACTGTTTCTGTTCCTTATTTTTTTGATTGGGTATCTTATTCTTCTGATAGTCCAAACAAATTAGAGTGTTTTATACAAATACTTTACCTGGAACATTAGATAGCCAAAAAATGTAAAAAAATGCTTAATAGTTCTGAAATGTTTTTCAAAACTCTGTGTTATTTATATTTAGGAGAGTGCTGGCCAGCTGGAAATAAGAGCTCTTTCTCTAATTTATAAGTAAGTTGTATCAAAAGAAAATGAAAGAGGGAATATGAGTGAGAATGACTGTGTAGAGGTAAGATTTCTGTCAGAGTTCCTTTAGGATTTGTTAAATTTGAGTGTTGGTAAGTTAATAATGTAGAAGCAAAAGACCTGAGTAAAATCTATTTAATACAGTTCTTAGGTGAAGAAACTTATTACTAGTTCTGTCCTAGAATTTGTGTCTCTTTGGAAGGAAGATTAAATGGAAGCCAGGTGTACTGGGACTTGCCTGTAATACTAGAATGAGCAAGAGGGAGTTAGAGCAAGATGATCTTGAGTTCAAGACCACCTTAGAGTACACAACAAGATTCCATCTCAAGACTAACTAAGAGCCTGAAAATGCTAAACTGGTAATATTATCAGTAGGTAATCATTTTTATATGTTATTATTAGGGCAATTCCATTTCTATTGTAAGATTAGAGCAAAAACATTTTAGATACTTCAGTAGTTGAATTATCTGTCCTTCAAATGGTCATATATTTTGATATTTATGGGAAGTTAAGAAATGTCTAAAAGGGCTACCTTATAGTTATAGTTATCTTATGTATACACTAAGTAATCTCTTCCCACCTACCTTTGTTTTCTACCTATAGTCGAGATTTCATTCTTTATCGATATCCTGGAAAGCCACCAATGCATGTCACAGATAATGGCTTTGAAGAAAAGGTAAGAAAATGAATGTTGGCTGACATAAAGTTGAATGATGCTGCTTGTTTATAACAATATTAAATAATTCTTTTGACCTAATTAGTGAAACAGTAAACCTAGTTTTGAAGATCAATGAGGAACCATTGTGCTACTGAGTCACCTAATAAACAGTGTCTAACTGATAATATCCTGTGTTGGCAGCTCTTTACTCTCTAATCTGTCATCCTCATTGGTATTAGCTACCTTTTATTTAAACAGATTGTTCTTATCACTCTTTAATAAGAAAAACCACAAAACCATATAAAACCCTAATTGGCTCCTCATTCATTAGATAATAAGGGTTAAATCTGAAGTTAGGTGTTCAGTGTCGTTTCATTCTCTTCTATCCTTAGTGTGCATGCCATACTTCATGTTCCTTGAGCTTTCATATGGTTTATTATTTCATCCCTCAATTGTCATTTCCTTGGAAACATTCCCAACTTTCCTGGAGCTCTTTTCTCTCACCCTGGTTAGTTTCCAAGTCTTGATACTTAGTTTTATCACCTCATGTTTACGTTTCAGTTTTTTTTTCTCATCTGGAATTGTCTTGAGGGTTTTATGGTTTAGTCAAGTGCTTAGTAAATAAAACAAAGTAGGTATTTTTTAGAACTCTCAGCTTGGTAATAGATTTTTTTTCCAGTAGAGTATTCCAAAAAAGGTTTTTAAGAGTTTTATCTTAAGCACTCAATCAATGAATATGGGACTATGCAATATTTGAGTTTTATAAGTTTTATTTCACATCATAGAACATAATTCTGGAAAGTTTATGATGGCATGACAAGAATAGACATAGGAGAACTTTGTTGTTACAGTAATTAAGGGAAAGGCCTAAACTAAGGAGGTGGTATTAGGATTAGAGATATAACTGATTGGAGATGCCATAATTATAAATGGAGTCACTTATTTTACAATTGGGCACCATCTAATTTATTCAGCAAACATGCTGCTTTTCTGCTTTTCTGGACTTTGAGGATACCAGTACTTGATTAATGAAAAGTTTTTTTCTAGGGGCTTTAGGGGGCATAAAGACTTTATGAAATAGTTAATTGCAATTAAATCCTTAGTTTTATAGTATAAGTAATACATAGAAAGGACATAGAAAGACGATACCTGCTTAAGCAAGTTAGAGTGCTTCATTGTGGTAGTGACACATTAAAAAACTAGGTCTGTCTAGTGGGAAGAGCAGTCTCTTCAGGGGAAACCATATATACAAAAGCATGAAAGGAAGAGACCCTTTGGGGATTGAATTAATTGAAGGTGGAGGGCAGTGTGCAGAAATATAAGACAGAGTTGTAGAATGAGGGTTAGAATAGCCTTTGCTGAAAATTTGACTTGGCATTGTACAGAAGAATGCTTTTTTTTTTTTTTGGTTTTTCGAGACAGGGTTTCTCTATGGCTTTGGAGGCTGTCCCGGAACTAGCTCTTGTAGACCAGGCTGGCCTCGAACTCACAGAGATCCGCCTGCCTCTGCCTCCCAAGTGCTGGGATTAAAGGCGTGCGCCACCAACGCCCGGCGTACAGAAGAATACTTAACTGAAGTTTTCCTCATTATTATGAAAAATTTCAAACATAGAATTAGGAAACATTCATGTGCCTGTTACCACTAGAGTCTCATATATATAATTTTTATGTCTTTCATTTAAAAATTTTTGTACATATCTTAGAACATATGTAAAATATTCTTTTTTATTTAAATTAGAAACAAGCTTGCTTTACATGTCAGCCCCAGTTCTCTCTCCTCTCCCCTGCCCCTCACTGATCCCCTTCTGCTCCCCAGGGAAGGTGAGGCCTTCTATGGGGGATCTTCAAAGTCTGTCATATCATTTGGAGTAGGGCCTTTCCCCCGTGTGTCTAGACTAAGAGTATCCCTCTATGGGGAGTGGGCTCCCAAAGTCCATTTGTGCACTAGGGATAAATACTGATCCACTACCAGAGACCCCATAGATTGCCCAGGCTTCCTAACTGACACCCATGTACCACTAGAGTCTCTTAACACACATATAGACCCTCCCTCTATACATTTGCCGATCCATTTTTTAAAAATCTTATTTAAAGTAAATTTTGGACATCAGTGTACTTACCTCTTAACACTAACTTAAAAATGTTTAAGCAAAAGTATGACAGAATCAAAATCATTTGAAGAAATATCATGTTCTTGTTTATGTTTGAACAGTTGAAATCCTCAGATGAGATTTCAATATTTATATTTTATTCAGGGATCTTCAAACCTTTGATTTCTCTCCCTGTACTTGGCTCTGAAGTTTTTCTCGGAGAATAGTTCATAGAATATTATTGTGAATACCTGTATGCATACCATGCAGTAGTTCTTACAGTTGTACAATTCCATTTTTTTAAAAGATTTATTTATTACATATACAGTGTTCTGCCTACATGCCAGAAGAGGACACCAGATTGAATTGTAGATGGTTGTGAGCCACCATGTGGTTGCTGGGAATTGAACTCAGGACCCCTAGAAGAGCAGTCAGTGCTCTTAACCTCTGAGCCATCTCTCCAGCCCCGTAAAATTCCATTTTTAAATGAATCTTGTACATTTTGTAGATACTGAAATAGTTAATGGGAAGTGTGATCTATTAGAACTGTAAGAATATAGAAATAGGAGTATGTAGTACAACCTGAAGTAGTATATATGAGACATATGCATACTATTAGTATATAATTAGGAAAATGATGTAACATCTAATTTTCATTGCTGTATTACATTTTTAAAAAATTTTTTCTGTATGCAGATAGTCTTTCTAATTATACAGTGTAAGTAGCTGTCTAAACTTTTATGTATATGGGTATTTTGCCTGCGTGTATATCCATACCATATGTGTGCCTAGTGCCCTAGGAAGCCAGAAGAAGGTAGCAGATTCCTTGGAACTGGAGTTATATGGGTGTTGAGAATTGAGCCTGGATACCGGAAGAGCAGTTAGTGCTCTTCACCACTGAACCATTTCAATCCAAACAAAGTGTTTGATAATAAGAGGAAACATTGTTCATGGAAAATGCAATGTGCTTCATACAGGAAATAAACAACGGTAAAGTAATTTTGAGACCCATTCCCAAGCCTACCAAAATAGCATAGCTAGTTGAACTCTAAAGAGTCTTTCCCTTCATTGAGATCTTTTTGTTACCTTCCAAAATTTATGATTTCTTTATGGTATTTTCATATGTATATGTCATAGCTTTTTTTCTAATTTATTCCCATTCCCTGCCCTCTTTCTTCTTCCACCCCTTTACTACTGTGTTAGTACCCTTCTTCTTACAGTATTTTCTGCTTTGATTTCATGTGAAGTTTTTAGCCTCTTTGTCCCTCCCTGTTCCTTTAAGGTTTTTCTCCCTGTTCATAGTCCCCTTTGTATTTTCATCACACACACACACACACACACACACACACACACACACACACACACACAAGTCAAAGTATAGATTCTGTATATGGGAGTAAATGTATTTTTCTTTCTGAGGCTTTTTTTTGTTTTTTGGGGACAGGGTTTCTATGTAGCTTTGGATGCTGTCCTGGAACTAGCCCTTGTAGATCAAGCTGGTCTCGAACTCACAGAGATCTGCCTGCCTCTGCCTCCCGAGTGCTGGAATTAAAGGCGTGTGCCACCACCGTCCAGCCTCTTTCTGAGTCTTAATTATGCCTAACATAACAATTTTCAGTTACATCCATTTCCTGAAAATGCCATAATTTCATTAGAACTGAATAAAACATTGTTGTATACATAGGTCACATTTTCTTTTTTCTTTATTTTATGTGCATTGGTGTGAAGATGTCAGATGCCCTAGAACTGGAGTTACAGACAGTTACGACTAGGTCCTCTGGAATAACAGCTAATGCTCTTAACTGCTGAGCCGTCTCTGCAGCCCCTGGGTCAATTTCTTAACTCTTGCAAGTAGTCCAGCAGTAAACATGGATGTACAAGTATCTCTATAATACATTTACCTAGACTCCTTTGGGTATTATACCCAGGAGTGATATAGCTGATTCATATAATAGTTCTAGTTTTAGGTTTTTGAGGAACTTCCACATTGATTTCCATACTATTTTGTAATAGTTTACATTCTCAGTAGTTTAGGTTATGTGGGTTCCTCTTTTCCAACATCTCTGCCAGGGTATTTTATTGTTTTCTTTTCTTTCTTTTTTTCTTTTTCTGTTTTTTTGAGACAGGGTTTCTCTGTATTGTTTTTGGAGACTGTCCTGGAACTAGCTCTGTAGATCAGACTGGCCTCGAACTCACAGAGATCTGCCTGCCTCTGCCTCCTGAGTGCTGGGATTAAAGGTGTGCTCCACCAACACCCGGTTTATTGTTTTCTTTTTAAGCTTTAAAAATGTTATCCGTGTATGTGTGGTACATGCATGTGTTCATGCTTGTTTGTGGGTACACTTGCCAGTGTCCTTTTGATGGCCAAAAGTTGGTCTTAGGAATCTTCCTATTTCTCACTCTATTTTAAAAAGGATTAAAAAGTTTTTTAATTGTATACATGTTTGTACATCTGTGTGGCTTGTGGGCACAGGTGTGCCAGTGCTTACAGAGGCAATGGTATCAGATCCCCTGGAGATGGATTTGTAGGTGGTTGTAAGTAGCCTGATATATGGGTGCTGGGGACTGAACTCAGAGCCCACTCTGCCTAATTTTTTGGAAACAGGGTCTTTTACTGAACCTGAAGCTTGCCTTTTCATCCAGTGAATTACCACTGAGCTTTTGGAACCCACCTGTCTCTGTTCCCTGAAAATTGGTTTAATAGGCTTGTGTTATGGTGACAGCTTTTATGTAAACATGGGTGATTTGAACTCAGGTCCACATGTGTGCTGAACAAACATTTTACTCATGGAATCATCTCTTCATTTCTTGTTTTCTTTATGATATTCATTCTGATCGAGATGAAATGGAACCTCAAACCCATTTTAATTTATTTATCTGATGGCTATGGATGTAAAATATGTTTTAAAATATTTTATTGGCCATTTT